ATGTTGCTGATCTGCGTAAGTGTGCAACGCTGGCTCTGTCGCTTTCGGATTTCCAATTCGTCAACGGCGATGTTACACACACTATGTTCTCTTTTTAGGCAGCGGATAATAATTAAACTTCGAAAGAATGTTTAGACCAACTCCACGTCTAAATGCCTGAACGTAAATTAAACGACAAAAGAAAGATCTTTGGATGCCGAATTTGTGGTTCTAACTCGGGTGCTGGTCAGGCGAATAATGTGCTAGCCTTTTCATTTTACTTAAAACGTCACCTCGGTTGAGAGGATGGAGTTGTGGAAATTGTGTCAGGGGTCTAAGGTCTATGTCCATCTACTTTGTTGTTGACATTTTTGGAGGTGGGGTTTTAGAGCTGCGTCAGGGGTCCAAGGTTTATTAGAACTTTTCCAGAGGTGGGATTTTGGAATTGCGTTGCATTGTGTAAAGGATGAGGTATCTTATGGCGATAGGAGATTTCGTCATCTCGTTAGGTTTAGTGAGAATTATTGGGTAATATGACGGGACGTGGAAAAGTTGTAAGTTCGTGAGGATTAACGAAATCAGATATCGACTGGTCAGTCCGGGAAATGACTCAGTGGATTTTCCTGACAAACAACTAGAGGACTTTGGTCTAGGTAACAAAAAAGGAAATGATCGAGCACGATATACCGACACTTCAAGCACGATGTCGCGGAACATGTTTGTTGAATATAATATTTAAAGTGTAGCGAGCAACATAAATCAATTCGCTCCATTTATAAAAGGATCTAGAATTCGCGAAGTCCGCAGGACGTAACAGTAATAAATGGAGAGGAGGTATTTAAAAAAATAATTCTATATTTCTTTTTTAAATTTTAGCAAATCGTTTTAAAGAATATAAATAACTTTACAACTTTTGTGTAAAACATTTTTTCATGTACATTGTAGTTTAGAGAATAATTACAAACAATGAGAAAGTTTTTTTTTATGGATTGTTTCTACCTTTAACCGTTGAGATATATCATTAAAAACATATAGGTCTAATATTTTTTAATGCTCTGTGACATATTCAAATTATGAAAATTGGTAAACGACGGTTCCGATAGTTTTCTTGTAACCTATAAAGGTGACACACGAAAGTGAGATTTTCGACAATATATCACTCATAGATACATGTTGTGAGTGTCTTAAATTATATTATATATAATAATTATTATATTAATATAATATAATTATAATAATTAATATAATAAAATATAATTATTATAATAATTATTATAATTTAAAGAAATAAAATAAAATGAAAAATGAAAAAGAATGGATATTTTTACAAATAATTTGACACATATCATATGCATTCGTAAAGGTGACTACACTTTTGAATGTAGTTAAAAATTAAAGGTGCCAAAGAGCATTTTCGTCATTTATTATTTTACTATATTGATTTGAAGAAAACAGCTGCCGAAAATCACCGATTCATCTCAAAAATTTATTCTGAGTCTGCCCCATCAATTACTAGGTGAGCAACTAAGTTTCCGGGTTTTTTTTATCAATGAAAAGTGGAAAATTTCAAGAAAAATACAAAAAATGATTTATTCAAAGTATCGTCCCTCGCTAGCTACACATTTTTGCCATCTCTCTGGCAATACATGAATACCGTGACGATAAAACGACGCGTCTTTGGACTGAAACCATTCATCCAACCAATTTTGCACTTCTTCGAAATTAGCCAAGTATTGCTCAGCCAAACCATGCGTCGTCGACCGGAACAAGTGATAATCGGAAGGGGCCAGGTCTGGCGAATACGGCGGGTGCGGTAGCAGATCCCATTTCAGCGTTTTGATGGTGTCCTGGACGATGGAAGTGCGATGGCACGGAGCGTTATCGTGTTGTAATATCACTCGTTCGTGTCTCGTGTCCCATTCTGGCCGTTTTTCGAGCAATGCATGGTTCAAATTGATCAGTTGTTGTCAGTAGCGATGCTCATTGACAGTTTCACCCGGTTTCTGCAGCTCATAATACATGATTCCTTTCTGGTCCCACCAAACGCAGAGCATTGTCTTCTTTCCGAAGCGATTTGGCCGTGCCGTCGATGTTGATGCTTCGTCAGGTGAAAGTCACGATTTTTTGCGTTTGGGATTCTCGAAATATATCTACTTCTCATCGCCAGTAACAATTCGATGCAGGAAACTCTTTCTTTCATGCCACAAATGCAAAATTTCGGAAGTGGCTCTTCGATTTTCTATCTGTCTCTCAGTCAACTCATGCGGCACTCATTTTCCTTCCATTTGAATTTTTCCCATAGCATGTAAACGTTTGGAAATATTTTGGCGAGTCAGGTTTAATGCCTCCGCAAATTGATCTTGTGTTTGCATATCATCTTCATCCAATAACGCTTGCAGATCGGCGTCCTCAATTGTTTTTGGTCTTCCGGAGCGCTCCTTGTCCTCAGTGTCGAAATCGCCACTTCTGAAGCGTTTCTTCGAAACCAATCTTCACAGGTAGTTTTCGATTGTGCATGTTCGCCGTAGGCTTCCTCAAGCAAACGACGTGCTTCAGCTGCACTTTTTTTTAAGTTAAAGCAGAAAAGCAAAGCTTCCCGCAAATGCTGTTTATTTGGCAACAAAACTCGACATCTTCGTTGTTAGAAAAAATATTTTTACGTTGCGATATGTGTTGGTATTACGACTGATTATTGTTAACAGATGTCCAAGCTATAAAAAAACACAACTTCAGACATGTATGTCGACTACATGTGTCGTTAGCGCCATCCATGTGTGAAACCCGGAAAGTTAGTTGCGCACCTAGTATAATAAAACATATGAGGTTTCGACGGTTCAAAAGTGATGATTTTAATTTGAAAGACAAAAAACGTTCAAGTCAATCAAAAAATTTTTGAAGATGTCGAATTGCATCGTTGAATGAAAACTCGGTTCAAATGTCTCAAGAATTAGCTGAAGCAATAAATATTGACAAATCAACCGATTATGATCATTTACATTCAATGGGAAATATTCAAAAAGAAGGCAATTGGATTCCATATAAATTGTCCGAATTGACTTCAAAATCGTTTAACCACTTGCACTGTATTATTTTCTTGTCACAAAAAGAAGCACTTTTTGTACAACTTGTATTTTAACTGGTGATGAAAAATAAATCTACTATGATAACCTTAAGCGTAAAAAATCGTGACTAAATCCAAGTCAATCATCAACATCGACTCCAAGATATATCATCAATGGAAATAAGGTTTCATTGAGCATTTGGCGGGATATGAAAGAAGTATCGTAAATTTTGACCTGAAACTGAATCAAACAGTCATTAACCATTACCAACAATAACTAATAACAACTATTAAGCATAACCAACAACTAATTAATTTGAATCGTGTTTTGAATCAGAAATATCTACTAATAGTTTCAAGAAAACACAAAATCATTTTGTTCCACGATAATGCTCGACTACATATTACAAAACCAGTTTAAGATACGTTGTCGGCATTCCAAATAATTATATACGCAACTAAGCAATTACGCAACTACGCAACTAAGCAACTTTTTAATAATCTTCAAGCTATTGATGATAAATGATATATTAATGGAGTCGATTATTTTTATATAACAGACAAGTTTATCTTCCAAGAAACTGAATTCATTTCAGTTTTATGTCAACGAATATGTCTATTCGAGACAGTACGACTTCTACCTCCACGATGTGTAGACAAAGAGTAGTTTATTACACCATAGTGGTCCTATTATTAAAAATAACCTATTCCTATGTTTTGGCTGAACAAAATCACTTAATTCCAGAACAATGGGCATTAGAAGGCATGCCCTTTATATCAATTATTTTTGCAACGTCGGAATATTTGCCGGCTGGGCCATGCAAGGAAGACACACGGAGATTTTTGCATGACCTACTTAAAGGTTCACTATGGGCTACGCAAAGTAAGTTTATGTAAATTATAATATGTTTTGCAAGTTAAAACTCTAGAAAAATGCAATGGTATTTGGTATTTAATGTATGTAATGGTATTTATATAATACGATAATATATACGAATACGAATAACGGTAAGAAACAAATCTGACAAGAAAAAGACACTTCACGTGAAACAATGTTTGAAACAAAAGTTATAGGGTTCAATGTAGCCATGGTCAATAGTACTATTTCTAATTTTTGGTATTATTTTTTAAACTATACGTCAATTAGCTTTGTTTGTAAAATAACGTGTGGAAAGTACCAATATCAATGTTAAAACTGAATTAAAACATGAAAAGATTCAAATTTATTTAATTCATATAAGTTCTAATAAATCAATTTACTTTAGTGTTCCGAGTGCTCAACTTGTGCACATTATTGACATAAGACCGTGAATATTAATGCGTAAATATTTTGTAAATACAATTTAAAAATCGTATTCCCCGATAGCCAAATCTAGCAGATATTACGCTGTGTCTGCTGTTTTGTCGACAAATTAGCAGCAAAATGTTTATCAGCAATGCTCATCTGCTAGTAAAGTATGATGACACATTAACGGCAGAAATTCAGTCAGGATCTGACATTCTGTAATTTAAAGTATTTAAAGTATTCCATTTAAAGTATTTAAATGGAATGTATTGCAAACATGCTCGATTTCTATCTCGCCTATCTGCTAACAAGTTATATTAGAACACACTATGTCAGCACACGATTTTCATATAGACACAGATGACTATTGATTTGCCATATTATTCTGACCGTATCTACTGCCAACCTGACGTCAAAATTTCTAACATTTTACTTATTAAATTGATATTGATATATTTTGCATTCTACATGTGTGTGTGTGTGTGTGTATGTGTATGCTCACATATATCTTTCGATATTCTGTTAAATTCTACTTTAGTGTTCGATTCTTCTACAAAATATCCGGATGGTATATTCTACGGACATACAAGACATCTAGGAAATTTTGATGAATGTTATAACATACAAGTTAATATCACAGAAGAGGGTACTGATGTTCATGAAATTAATGGAAAATATTGCTTAATCGATATTATATATAAGAAGAAGCAAACTGTATCAGTCCAACAAAAATCATCAGAAACAAAATACATGAACAATTCCTTAGACTTAACCAATTCTTTTTGGAAAGTATTAGAGGTATGTTTGTAACGTTCAACAAATTTTATAATAAAGAAATTCAAGTTACGCGGAGATTCACCTGATGAAACAACATTATTGTAGGATACTTATATAATTACTTCAGTATATTGACATTTATATAATTACTTCAGTATATTGACATAATGTAATTATAAATTACACACTTTAAGAATAATTATTATATTCAAATTTTAATATATTTTGAAAATATTATATATATTTTAAACGATTCAGATGATGTAAGATGTGTGGATGATACAAGAATCATAAAATCAAAGATTATATTGGTAACATACATAGTGTCCTATTATGATATTCAAATTAAATATCTGAATCTAAACGGGTGAATTAAAATACTCGCGAAACATCTAACGGAAGAGATTTAATGTAATGATATTTATATAATACGATAATGTAAGAAACAAATCTGATAAGAAAAAGATACTTCACGTGAAACAATGTTTGAAACAAAAGTTATAGGATTCAATGCAGCCATGATCAGTAATACTATTAGGTCAATCGGAAAGTTCCGTCCGTTTTCTTGCAAAACGTATGACTTTATTTAAGAAACAAAATGAAAAAGTACATCAATCAAAGTATTGTTCATCATTAGCAATGACTTTTTCCCATCTTTCGGTCAGCAAGCGAATTCCGCAGCGAAAGAATGACTCATCTTTGGAGGCTATCCAGTCAGAGACCCAGTTTTCGACGTTTTCATAAGAATTGAAGCATTTCTCAGCAAGTGCGTGTGCTATCGACCGAAACAAGTGGTAGTCGGAAGGGGCACAGTCTGGTGAATAAGCCGCATGGGGTAACACTTCCTAGCGAAGTGCTTCTAACGTTTCCTTGACAGATTTTGTGACGTGAAGTCGAGCGTTGTCATGAAGCAAAATCACTTTATGCTGTCTCGTTTCATATTCTCGTCGTTTTCCGTGCAATGCTCGGCTCAAATGGATCATTTATTTTCTGTAGAGATCCCCTGTGACTGTTTGACCACTTTTCAACAGCTCATGGTACATAAGGGCACACCCTTCTGATCCCACCAAATACAGAGCATTGCCTTCTTTCCGTGGATATTCCGCTTTGGCTTCGATGTTGAGAGTTGGCAGAGATCGCAAGTAGTTTTTCGACGTTTGGGTTTGTCAAAATAAATCCATTTTTCATCCCCAGTGATGATACGATGTGAAAACCCCTTTCTTTGTTGCCTAGCAAGCAGAATTTCGCCATTCGCCTTGGTTTTTCGCCTTTCAACGTCTCTAGGCTTCAGTTCATATGGGACCCATTTTCCTTCCTTGTAAACCTTTCCTAAGGCTTTCAAACGATCGGAAATGACAGATTGAGCACAATTTAATGCTTTTGCAAGTTGCTTTTGCGTTTGACATGGGTCTTCGTCCACCAATGCCTGCAATTCTTCGTCTTCGAATACTTTTGATCGTCCAGAACGCTCTTTGTCCTCTACATCAAAATCATGAATTTTAAAGCGTCGAAACCATTCTTTGCATGTTTTATCGGTAGGAGCATTATCACCATAAACTTCTATAAGCATTCGATGAGCTTCAGCTGCAGTTTTCCTCCAATTGAAGCAAAAGATTAATACTTCGCGCAAATGACGCTTATTTGGCTCAAATTTCGACATTTTCGAGTGGACAACAATGTTATTCATGCAAACGTATGCTTTTATGTACTGAATGTTATTGACAGATGTCAAAACAAACTATTAAGCTTCGTTTAGACATTAACAGACAGGTTAACGACAGTTCTAGCTATAGCTACTTGTCGCTAAACGGAGGGAACTTTCCGATTTACCTAATATTTTTAATTTTTATTTTAAATGGACAACTGGAATTCCAGATCGCAAATCGAATTTCTTAATTACAATTTAATACCTTCAGTCGCAAAATTGAATGTTTAATTTAAATTGAAAAAGAAAAAAGTTGAACATCATGTAAACATCGCTATGTCGCATAATTTTACCTTTTCTCCATTGTAATAAACGTTTTGCTTACGGCATATCGCTCTAGGAATTAAATGATTACTTACTTATTAATACTTTTGCACTTAGCAATTGGAAGGTCACCCATATCGTATACGCAGAAATCGTTTACAATTGGCTTTGTGTGTACCGGCGACCTGCAGTGCGGAAAATATAGAAACAGCCTTGAAAATATCTTTAAAAGGACTTGGAACAAGTAAAAATATTGAGTTGCAGACAAGTGTGCAACCTAATTCTTGTCATACAGTCAAAGAAGGGCCAAAGTTTACTCTTGGTGCCGGAGTTTACTGGTAAATTTTATTCGCATCACAAATGTGAAAAAAATATTGTACTTTAAATAATTTTTCAGTGTTGTACTTGTCGCTTTGCTGAGTCTGGTCATAATCAGCACTTGGTACGACCGTACGCCAAGTGGAGATGGAAATAATATGTCTGTAATACGAAATATCATGCTACACTTTTCTGCTCGGAGAAATTATGAAAAAATTTTCAACGTAAATTATACACATACAGGGCTTGACTCTATATATTTTATACGGTTTTTTATTATCAGTTTGACGGTTTATATGCATAATGTAATACAATATATATTTATTCCCATTATTAATGTAGTTGATATAGAAGAGGTATGTATTACTATTAAACACATGTGTATTAAAATTAACATGTGCAGTTATGTATTAATAATCTCTTTCTTGACATTTGACAATTATGTGTAACACGATATTTTTCATCTTAATGCTTGCTTTCAGATATACAAAATACCTTTGATTACATTAATAGTGAACGCTACAGTCACAATAAACATAATGTTCGCCTTGAGCGGCGTTCTACACGCATTTCAATTATTGAAAGACTTGGATCAAAATAAACAATTAAAATTTGTTAAAAATGTCGCATTGAGATACATGAGGTATGTACGTACACAAAGTATTCTATTTTAAGCTTCAGTCAAATATTTCGGAAGGTATGCAATGTTTCGAAAGCAAATGCTAGACGAAAGTAATAAAGCTTGCAAGGTGTATTTCATCCATTACGGTCGTTCAAAATTTTATTAAATTCATTATGTTTAAGTATTTTAGTGTTCTCAGCCGTTTCCAAATAGAATTCTATAATTCTTTCTCCCTCCTCTCTCTCTCTCTCTCTTTATCTCTCTCTCTCTCTTACCCTCTCTCTCTCTCTCTCTCTCTCTCTCTCTCTCTCTTTCTCTCTCTCCCTCTCGGTATATTATTATAGGTATAAAAGTTAATTTCAGTTTTAAAAATTCCAATGCAAAGCGAAGTGGATGCCATCGGTACGTGGCATGGAGCACGTAAAAGTAACTCCAAAGACGTGAGGCATAACATCACATGACGTCACGTCTATGTCATAAAAGAGGATATCATCATAATCACGACTCAAATATTCATTAATTATACAGGGTGTTTGATAGCTGATCATGCAGACGAAAGTTGGAGATAGATTGGCTGTAGCCGAGAAGAAAAGTCATGTACCATAATGTCAAATTGGCAATAGTTACCGAGTTATTAATTAAAACATGTGAGCCAACGAGCACGTAGAGAGCGGAGGGCGGCCGTAGTAAGCACGTAGACATTTGTTACAGGCGGAGTCAGCGAGTTGTGGTGTAGCAAGCGCGCGCGGTGAGGAGCAACGTAAGCGACAAGAGGCGATCGCGCGCGACGAGGAGCGAGCGAGCTTTTTCTTTATAGCTTTTTCCTTATAGCTCGTTCACTCCTCGTCGTTCGCGCTCGCTCGCTCTTCGTCGCGCTCGCTCGCCTCTTGTCGTTCGCGCTCGCTCGCTCCTCGTCGCGCGCGTTCGCCTCTTGTTGTTTGCGTTGCCTCTCGCCGCGCGCGCTTGCCTACCGTTACTCGCTGATTCCGCCTACACCAAATGTCTACATGCTTACCGCGGCCGCCCAGCGCTCTCTACGCGCTCGTTGGCTCACATGTTTTAATTAATAACTCGATAACTATTGCCAATTTGACATTATGGTACATGATTTTTCTTCTCGGCTACACCCAATCTATCTCCAACTTTCGTCTGCACGATCACCTATCAAACACCCTGTAAATTAAAATTTTATGTATCAAATTATTCTCTCCGTTATTGAATCAATATCTGATGTTTACCAAAAGCATTACTGAGCCATTATTAACGTTGATTAAACCACTATTGACTTAAACCACTACCAAACGTCAAAGTACATCTATCGACATCGATTACAAAGCCCCACAAAGAAAAAGTAGTCGATCCCAGAGACCAAACCATCCTATTCTTATGTACCATATTTTGGTTCGCTGAACACGAATCCGAGGTCAATTTTCCCCATCACATCCTGTTTTTTTAAACCTTAAAAAATGCTAAGAAATATCCAAAATCGTCTATTTGCTGCCTAAAAGGTAGACACGGGATTGATAATGAGTGCTAAAGCTATATTCCATTCTACTGTAACGTTTTTGAGACGCTGAAAAAATATTGTAATAGATTTATAGATCTAGGATTTTTTTTAACAAAAAAAAATCGCCCAAAAGTCGTCAAAATGACATTCATTTGTTCAGATCTCATTCACAAAGTCTTTGAAAAGCAAATAAACAAACAGGTGGATCAAACTTGATCTTTTTTGTATTGTAAAATATATTTACAAAAAAAGAACATTTTTATTATTTTTTTTTTTATGATAACGTACTCTCTTATTTTCAAAAGATCTGTGAAGTGGATTTCTTTTATGTTTTACTCCTTTTCGTTCATACTCTCTTTTCAACATCCAACAGAAGTCAGCCTTCATGATCACGTCCCATCGTCCTTGATATCTTCGCTCCATTTCTTTAATATCTTGGTGGAAACGTTCACCCTGCTCTTCACTGTAATGTGCTGAAATCTCTGGAAATTGATTTACGTGAGAATGCAAGAAATGCATCTTCAGGTTCATCAGGTATCCCAACTTATCGAAGTTGTCAATCACATCAGAGACTACTTGTTTATAGTTCTCGCTCTTGTGGTTACCTAAGAAGTTCTCAACAACTCCTTGAAAGCCAAGCCACGCCGACTTTTCAATGTTAGTCATCGTTGTAACAAAGATCTGGTCCCTCAACATTTTTCTATTTGCGGTCCATCAAAAACGCCTTCCTTCAATTTTGCATCGGTCATCTGTGGGAATTGTTTCCCCAAATATTCGAAGCATTTTCCATCTTTATCCAGGACATTTACAAATTGCTTCATGAGATCAAGCTTAATATGAAAAGGTGGAAGCAATATTTTTTTAGGGTCAACCAGCGGTTCTGCAATGATGTTATTTTTACCTGATTCAAACGATGCCCTTTTCGGCCATTTATGACGTGTATAGTGTTTGGCACGATCTCTACTGTCCCACAAGCATAAGTAGTAAGGTGTCTTTATAAAGCCTGATTGTTGTCCCAATATCATCCCTAGAACTTTAATATCTCCGCAAATTTGCCACTTGTGCGCTGAGTAATTAATTTTTTCAAGAACTAATTTGAAATTGCTGTACTCCTCTTTTAACTGCGTTGAATGTGCTACAGGTATTGGTGCATATATGTTGGTGTTATGAAGAAAAATGAACTAAAGCCAGGCATATACAAAGACGAAAATTGGAGACTATTTATTGATTCATTGAGACGAAGTTTAAAAGCTGTTCTTCTTCATGACACCAACGTATTATGTGTGTGAATTAATTTGGTCCGTTTTTACTTCCAAAAAAAGATTTTAGTATGAAAAAACATGAAAAAGTACACTAATAAAAATATTTCCCATCGCTTGCTATTATTTTTTCCCATCTGCCTGACGGTTGTTGCATTCCGTGACGGAAAAACGACTCGTGTTTCAAAACGATACATTGATTGAGCCATTACCCTATTTCTTTATAATTGTTGAAGTGCTGGTCCGAAAGCCCATGTGCCATCGATCTGAACAAGTGATAATCGGATGGAGCAATGTCTGGTGAATACGGCGGGTGAAGTAAAACGTCCCAGCCAAGTACTTCCAAGGTGGCTTTTACAATCTTTCCAACATGTGGCCGAGCGTTATCGTGCTGGAAGATCACTTTGTCGTGTCTCTTTGCATATTCCGGCCGCTTATTCTTCAATACGTTGTTTAAACGGATCAATTGTTGTTGATAAAGTTCGGCAGTGCCATTATGGTTTGGCTCTGTTTTAATAGTTCATGATATACTGCACCCTTGTAGTCCCACCATATACAGAGCATTACTTTCTTGCCGTGAATATTCCGCTTTGGTATCGATGTGGATAGTTTTCCTGGGTCGCTAATGGATTTCCTTCGTTTGAAATTATCGAAATATATCCACTTTTCGTCTCCAGTCACAATACGATGCAAAACATTTTTTCTTTTTTACTTGATAAGCAAGATTTCAGACATGGCTTTCGCCTCTCGATGTCTCTTTCTTTCAGTTCGTATGGCACCCATCTTCCTTCTTTGTAAATCTTTCCCATGGCTGCCAAACACACAGAAATTATTGATCGATCAACACTCAACAATCGCGCGAGCTCATGTTGCGATTGACACGGATCTTCATCGATTAGCGCCTACAATTTCTCCTCCTCAATCTTCTTCGACTGACCTGGACGTCATCAACTCACCTGGTTTGTCATCAACACTGAAATCATCACTTTTGAAACGTCGAAACCATTCTTTTGATCTGATGATTTATCGGTGGAAGCACTTTCCCCATAAACTCCTACAAGCATTCGATGAGCTTCAGCGGCTGTTTTCTTCAAATGAAAACAGAAAATGAGAACTTCCCGGAAGTGATGCTTTTTTAGCTCGAATTTCGACATTTTCGAACCAGATAAACACGATGTTATTGTTACAAATCCAAACATTTATCAACTGAATATTATTGACAGATATCAAAACTAAAAAATAAAGCCTTTTGTAGACATTAGAGGTTAGAAAATTATTGGGTGAGTGCAAAAGTTCGTGCGGAGTTTCAATAGATGGAGTTATAAGCGTCGTAAAGTGTTGTCATTAATACTTCCATCTACATATTATATAACGTTGGAAAGGTGACGTCTTCAGCTGTTATTAAAAAAAAATCATTTGTTTTCATACAAACTGCTTCGACAAATATCACTTTAAAAATGAGTATCGATAAGGTGCATTTACGGCATGTTATGCTTTACGAGTTTCGGAAGGGAATAAACGTTGCCGCAGCCGTAAAAAACATTCAGGATGTTTATCAGGATGAAACACCAGCTAAACGAACTGTGGAAAAATGGTTTGCTAAATTTCGGCGCGGAGAATTTAACCTTGAAGACGAGCCACGCTCTGGTCGACCTTCTGACATTGATGACGATGTTTTGCGTACTTTAGTGCTCAATAATCCGCGAATTTCAACAGAAGAAGTTGCTACAGCACTAAACGTTGACCGATCAACCGCTTTTCGGTGTTTAAAAAAGATGGGATTCGATTTGAAGCTTGATATATGGGTGCCCCATTTGCTGACCGAGAAGAACAAAATCAAGCGAATTTCTGCAGCCGTTTCTTTACTCGGGCGACTCAATAACGAGTCGTTTTTGGATCGACTAGTGACGGGCGATGAGAAATGGATCCTCTACAACAATGTTCAGCGCAAACGGACATGGAAACAATCAGGTGAGCATGGTGACGCAATGCCAAAGGCCAGTTTGCACCCGATGAAGGTGATGCTCTCTGTTTGGTGGGATTGCAAGGGCATAATCTATTTCGAGCTTCTCCCCGCTGGCGAAACGATTGATTCGGACAAGTACTGTCGCCAATTAACCAATCTGAATCGAGAAATAAAAGAGAAACGTCTGATTTTGTCAAATCGCAAGGGAGTCGTCTTTCATCACGACAACGCCAGACCACACGTTTCGAAAAAGACGCTGCGCAAACTGAAGAGCCTGAAATGGGATGTCTTAACGCATCCACCGTATTCTCCTGATATCGCACCATCTGACTATCACTTGTTCCGGTCATTGCAAAATTATTTAAATGGAAAAAACTTTGACTCTTTGGAGGCCTTAAAAACCGGCGTCTGTTCGTTCTTCGAATCTAAACCGTGCAGTTTTTATGATCGAGGCATCCGTATGCTGCCAGAACGTTGGGAAAAGATTATAGAAAACGATGGAGAATATATCATTGATTGAATAAAGATTTTTGTTTGCCTAATCACTGTGTGACTTTTATTCACAAACTCCACACGAACTTTTGCACTCACCCAATACATAGTACAGCAATTGACCGCCAGATAAACCGAATTAATTCATACACCTAATATATGCATCAATATCTGTAGCACACTCAACGCAGTTAAAAAAGAAGTACAGTAATCTCAAACTAGTTCTTGAAAAAATTAATTATTCAGTCCACAAGTGGCAAATTTGCGGAGATATTAAAATTCTAGGGATGATATTGGGACAACAATCAGGCTTTATAAAGACACCTTGCTACTTATGCTTGTGGGACAGTAGAGATCGTGCCAAGCACTATACACGTCATAAATGGCCGAAAAAGACATCGTTTGAATCAGGTAAAAATAACATCATTGTAGAACCACTGGTTGAGCCTAAAAAAATATTGCTTCCACCTCTTCATATTAAGCTTGGTCTCATGAAGCAATTTGTGAATGCCCTGGATAAAGATGGGAAATGTTTCAAATATTTGGCGAAACAATTTCCACAGATGACCGATGCAAAATTGAAGGAAAGCGTTTTTGATGGACCGCAAATTAAAAAAATGTTGAGGGACCAGATCTTTGTTACAACACTGACCAACACTGAAAAGTCGGCGTGACTTGGCTTTCAAGGAGTTGTTGAAAACTTCTTAGGTAACCATAAGAGCGAAAACTATAAACAAGTAGTCTCTGATATGGTTGACAACTTCGATAAGTTGGGATGCCTGATGAACCTGAAGTTGCATTTCTTGCATTCTCGTATAAATCAATTTCCAGAGATTTTAGGACATTACAGTGAAGAACAGGGTGAACGTTTCCATCAAGATATTACAGAAATGGAGCGAAGATATCGAGGACGATAGGACGTGAACCTGATGGCTGACTTATGTTGGATGTTGAAAAGAGATTATGAACGAAAAGGAATAAAACGTAAAAGAAATCCACAGATTTTTTGAAAAATAAGAGAGTACGTTATCATAAAAAAGAATAATAAAAATGTTCTTTTTTTTAAATATACAAAGAAGATCGAGTTTGATCTACCTGTTTGTTTATTTGCTTTTCAAAGACTTTGTGAATGAGATCTAAACAAATGAATGTAATTTTGACGACTTTTGGGCGATTATTTTATGTTAAATAAATCCTAGATCTATAAATCTATCACAATATTTTTTCAGTGTCCCAAAAAACATTACGGTAGAATGGAATATAGCTTTAGCACTCGTTACCAATCCCGTGTCTATCTTTTAGGCAGCAAATAGACCTTTTTGGATATTTTTTGGCTTTTTTCAAAGTTAAAAAAAACAGGATGTGATGGGGAAAAACTGACCTCGGATTCGTGTTTAGCGATCCAAAATATATAAGAATAGGGTGGTATGGTCTCTAGGATCGATCACTTTTTTTTTGTGGGGCTGTCCTATAGTTTAATAGTTGTTCAATATACGTTCAATGTTTATATTCACCACTTGCGAGCGGAACAAAACAATTGCGTTTTTTTAGTATGGTGTATTCTTTATCAATAAATGACATAGACGAATTATAGCAGAGAATACAAAATGTCTGTTAAATAGTTGGAACAAATCCGGAAAAGAGTTTGCAATTCTATGATACGAAGATATAAAGCGTGTGTAGAAATAGGCGTGTGTAGGAAATCTTTTGTAAACTTTGTAAACACCAGAAACGAGTAGATCACTTGCTTTAGTTAAATTAAATACTTCTTTATAACTCCGGCAATATTAATTTTTCAACCCATATTTATTAGAATCTTTTTCTCATTTTTTGTAAATATTATTTCTCCTTAAAGTCATGAACCCTTTTTTTTAGATATCTAGTATATGAGAATAGGACTCTATATGTACATGCCCAGATAGGACAAGAAATCATGACATCAAAATGACGTCAAAATGATGAGGAAAACTCATTTTTCATTCGGTTATTCTCTCATTATTTTGATGTCATTTTGATTTCATCATGATTTTCTGTTCTTCCTGGGTATGTGCCCACGTAACACATATGATTATTTACAGGTTAATACCGTTATATGCTACAATAATTGGCTTCTACATTTGGATCTTTCCACTACTGGGATCCGGACCATTTTGGAATCATGTGGTCGAAGAATGCGCTCATTGTGCAAAAAATTGGTGGATAAATCTCTTGTACATTCACAATTACGTCGCAGTTTCGGAATTCGTAATGAAATTGTGTTTATATCAATCCGAATAATCTCCAAAAAAATATCAATTAACGTGTAATTGACATGTAATTTCAGTGCATCACCCACAGCTGGTATTTAGCAGCAGACTTTCAACTTTTTGTTTGCAGTCAATTTATAATATATGCATTTTGGTGTATGCCGCGCAACATAGGGTATCCTTTTCTCGGGATATTAACATTAATAAGTTGCACTGTATCTTTTGTTGCCACTTACCTATACGATGCATCTTCCATCCTACGATTTACACCATAGTAAGTAATTTCTAATATTGATGCGCGTGTATAATTTTACTCCTAATTAGGCCGTATGCTAAGATTATCTTATTTAATTAGATAGAGGAACAAATACAAATGAACAGAGTTCATCAACCTTAATAAATTACTCATTTTGTTTTATAGCATAACAAAATTAGCAGATCTACCAGAATTCAAGGCATATTATATCAAAACACATATGTCTGCTACTGGATACCTTGTTGGTATAATAGCTGGTGCAATACTTCACGATCACAAAGGCAGTTCGTGGCGTTTGTCTAAGGTAGGTGAATATGTATTGTAATTTTAGCTGACTTTCATACCATTCTCACGAATGAGAGAAGAAAATGAGACACGAATGTAAAAATTACGCCTAAATAAAATATATCTTCATAAATAGCACTTGTTACAAACAAGTTTATTTTTTAAGTGCTTTTGTATTAGTCTTGTTTAAATATCGAGCACCCTTGCACCTTTTTTAAATGTAGATAATTCCACGTATATATTAGTTTTTGTAATGTAATGTAATGTGTCTCTTAATTGATATCCTAAATTTAAACGATACTATCATTTACATGCAAAAAGAAAAGTAAGGTTTAGGAGACAATGTTGACTAGCTAGATTTTCATTAGTAATTATAACCTGTGAAAACACTCATACAGCACAAAAGTTACAGCAACATTGCAATATTGTTGCAATGTTGCAGTAATGTTGCTGCAACTTTTTGTGGTGTATGGACAGCTAAACACTATTGTCAGCTTGTACCACCAGGTACAAGTAACAATGCCTCTCTCTGTAGTCGCCGTGCGCTCGGGATAACACTAGAGATGTCGCTTCCGAACGACATCTCTCAACGTTATCTGGGGAGGGGAGAGTGTCGTGAGCGTGGAGCGTCAGATAGCTCAGTGGTCTAGAGCAGTCGCCCGGCAAGCGAAAGACCCGGGTTCGATTCCCGGTCTAGCGACTACCACTGAGCTATCTGACGCTCCACGCTCACGACACTCTCCCCTCCCCAGATAACGTTGAGAGATGTCGTTCGGAAGCGACATCTCTAGTGCTATCCCGAGCGCACGGCGACTACAGAGAGAGGCATTGTTACTTGTACCTAGTGGTACAAGCTGACAGTCTCTCAAAGTCAAAGGTTGCTATCCTTTTAAGACCTGCTGTCCATGTATGCCGGCCTCCACCGTTGCCCCTCCTTATCCGGTGCAAATAATAGAAATAAGCCCCGGGGTCGACGCCATATTTTGGCTGCCCCCGGGCGCTTGGACACGTTTTGCAACGCCGCCGAAGGGGGATCCACCATGAAAGAAGGAGGGCGTACTAGGTGGCGACGGGACGCCGTGCGTTCGGGACCTGCATCTCATTTTTCGTTCCGAGGAGAGAAAAATATCGAGAGCGCGGTAGTCACTAAACCGGGAATCGAACCCGGGTCTTTCGCTTGCCGGGCGACTGCTCTAGACCACTGAGCTATCTGACGCTCCACGCTCACGACACTCTCCCCTCCCCAGATAACGTTGAGAGATGTCGTTCGGAAGCGACATCTCTAGTGCTATCCCGAGCGCACGGCGACTACAGAGAGAGGCATTGTTACTTGTACCTAGTGGTACAAGCTGACAGTCTCTCAAAGTCAAAGGTTGCTATCCTTTTAAGACCTGCTGTCCATGTATGCCGGCCTCCACCGTTGCCCCTCCTTATCCGGTGCAAATAATAGAAATAAGCCCCGGGGTCGACGCCATATTTTGGCTGCCCCCGGGCGCTTGGACACGTTTTGCAACGCGCCGAAGGGGGATCCACCATGAAAGAAAGAGCTTTCCAATTTAAATTTTAACGAAAAATAACGGTACATTAGTAAGTACCAATTGGAAAACATTATGTATGTACATAATTTATATTATATTACGTTTTCAGTTCTGGTCAAACATCTTGGTTTGTCCGATGCCTGTGGTTTTATATGTCGCCATCCAATATTGGGCGCATAAATTTTTTATATTGAGCAAACTGAATCTGTTGGAAGAAGCAATTTTTGCATTTTTCCAAAGGCTTATTCCCGCCTTATGCACATGTTCTATAATAGTTTTGTCATCCATCGGCACTCAATCAAGTATGATATACACATTGTAAAATGTTTGATGTTTATTTTAAGTTACGATTTACACTATCGTCAAAAGATTTAAGAAACACGAGACAAATTATTGTTTCTGTATATTAGTAATGATAATACTAGCTTGTCTTACGAGTAGAATTACCGGAGGAGTTCGTCAAGAAAAAAGTAGACTGAGTATGCAAAACATATAAAAAGAAAGTCATCCAAATTTCGGGTAGCTAAAAAAAGTTCACAAGTTTCGAGTAGCTAAAAAAGATTATAATTTTCCTTAAATATCTCAAAAAATATTAGGCAAATAAAAAAATATTTCAGACAAAAGTTATTTAAATTAATTGGTAGAAAAAGATGGTATAATAAAAAATTGGGGTTTCCATTTAAGAGAAATAATGATCAGTGAATATTACGAAAGTAGTGCTATTTGTAAACAATATAGTATAGTTATTTTATGTCCCCTTGAGATCATACAACTTTCGTTCGAAACATTTTTGCTGAAAATGTTTCATTGAAGAATTATCGAAGAATTATGCGTTTTTTTTAATGGGACACCCTGTATATGTTACCGGCAAGATATGGCAATTTCAGGTTTATATTATAATCAAATAGTTTGAACTTGGTCTAATTTATTTTATTTTCAAAGGAAATGTTAATTATACATCAATATTTATCTTTCCTACAGCTACTTTGGTAATTACTACCGTTATATTATTATGTCGGTTGTAAAATGTCAAAATTATTCCGGATTCCGCTATTATATCTCCTATGTTTCATCTCACAGAATTTTACCACCGTTTCTTTACATCTCGTTGGATACAGCCATTAGCAAATTTAACTTATGGAGTTTACATAGTAATTTTATATTTCTTACATCTGACATGGAACAAACAAAAACTGCAAAAACGTTTAGCTTTTTAAATCAGTAAGTATGAAAAATTAATATACATATACAATTCTTCTAATTACCTTTAGAAATAAAATTGAGAACATGCAGGGCGTATCACAGAACCGTAAGAGTTAATATCTATTGCACTCCAGATAGAAAAAAAATGGTGTAAGGAAAAGTTGAATAGTTTAATAAGCACTATTTTCTTATTTGTGCAATAATAAATCAGAAAGATGTAATTCTATTTTTATTTTAAATAGAACTTCTCAAATTTTTTGTACAAGTTGATTCCTTAAAATATCTTGCACAAAAAAATAGTAGAGTAAGATGACTAGAAAATGAGTAGTTAATGATATATTTCAGATTTATTAAAGTAAATGTTCGAACGTTCCATTATCATACAACAAACATTTGGCATCAAAGGTCTGTAGGGATATTACGGACATTGTTTGTAAATACGTATTTATAAACAATGTCTGTAATATCCCTCTAGACCTTTGATGTCAAATGTTTATACTTTAATAAATTTCAAATATCTCATTAACTATATACTTACTTTTTGGCCATCTGTTGGTCCAACGTCCCTATGTTTTTACGCAGAATATTTTAAGGAATCAATTTATATAAAAAAATTAAGAAAGCTGTATTTAAAACAAAAATTTTCTGGTGCATTATTGTGTCAACAAAAAAAATTGATTTCATTAGAAAATAAATGCTCATTAAGCCTCTCATTCAACTTTCCTTTGCACCATTTTTTCTACTGCCCAAAGTGTAATAGATATTAACTGTTACATATCGTCGTACATCAATACTGACAAATGTTTGTTGTGTAATGGTAGAATGTTCGAATATTTATTTTAATAAATCTGAAATATCTGAAATCTGGAATATCTCATTAATTACCCATTTTACGGTTGTCTTACCCTATTATATACATTTTTATGCAGAATATTTTAAAGAATCGACTTACAACAAAAAAATCGCAATGGTTCTGTTTGAAATAAAATGCAGTTGTATTTTTCTAATACATTATTGCATCAACAACAAATTGACTTCATAAGAAAATAGTATTCAATTAAGCCATTCAACTTTCCTTTATATCATTTTCTCTACTATCTAAAGTGCATTAGATGTTAACTGTTACAGTTCTATGAAATACTCTATATATCATGCATTATTAATAGTTTGTCTATTTATTATATGTAATAATTTTTTATCTAGATATTGGAAACCATTCCGGTGCTGCTACTTTCTTACATAATTTCTTTACTTCTTGCAATATGCATCGAGATGCCATTCAGAAGTTTAACAAAATGGTTATTCCTTAAAAACAACACACCTAACATAAATGGAAGGTACTTTAATAATAAATTTCTTTTGTACGTATGAAACTAATAAGAGTAAGTACGTATAAAAGTATATATAAACTAATAATTTTTTTTCTAGGATACTCGGGAACAAAGTAATAAAAATGGAATAATTATGTTATGTCTAGATTTTGCCAAGACGAAAAATTGGGGGAAGCACGATTATCTTTCATGATCCAAGTTTTCTTGTAAATGCGAGTCGATCAAGCGCGCGCGGCGCGACACGACGCCGAGTACATATGAAACAAAAGCGACCGTGGTAGCTTTTCCGGAATTTCGGAGGATCGATTGGTCTTCCGAGTCAAATATTCAAGCATGGAAATTATAATCAACAATCCGATGACATTTTTCTTATATAATGTCTATCTTACGCATAATTTGCAACAAGCCCGATCAAGATTGGTGCAGGAAATAAAGAGATCTCGAAATTTCGTCAACAAAAAGATCCTTTTCTTTCGCTAAGAATTTTAAGATATCAGATCTCACATATACGCACACAAGCAAAGCGAGTTTCTCCATCGAGCTGCGTTTGCATTGCCACGTGATGTCAGCTTCAGATTACACGTATATGCACGGACACAAGTAATGCGAGTTTATTATCAAATGTGTTTGCAACATACAGGTTGAAATAAAATAAGCATTTGCATACTCTGCGTTCGCTTTAGATGCGTACGCATTTATGTTTATCTAAGCGTCAATTTGCTATTTCTTATTAGCTCATTATACAGGATGGGAGTGTGATAAGTTTACAAACCGAAATTGAGATAGATTGGTTAAGACAAAACATAAAAAGTTCCATACCATTTTTGCGAGATTCGCAATAATTATCGGAGTTATTAATGACAAAAATCTGAGGAGTGAGAGTGCGCGCCGGCGTTAAAAATGGTAGAAGCGTGCAGCTGGTATAGGCCGCAAGCGCGGCTCAATCGATTTCAGGAAACTTGTTGCCCGGTTGCGCGGCGAGGGGAAAGATAATGCGCTGCTATATTTCTGTTGTTTTATCTCGCCGGGACCTACGTCTCGCCGCACGCCGCCAACCAGTGTGGTCGAGGGGCCGCGTTGTGGCCTGAGTAGCTTGCAACGCTTCTCCAATCATCTATGTCGACGCGCTCCCATTCCCTCGATTCTGTCATTAAATAACTCGTAATTATTATTGAATGTCGCAAAACGGTATGGGAACTTTATGTTTGTTTAAAACCCAATCTATGCTTCACATTTCGGGTTTGTAAACTTATATAACCTCCCATCCTGTATCATTAATGAGCAATAAACGATAGAATGACGCTTAAGATAAATTAATCGTGACTCGTAAGCATCGTAAAGCGAACGCAGAGATAATGAAATGCTTATTTTTATTTCAACCTGTATGTTGCCAAAACATTTGATAATAAACTCGCATACTTGTGGTCCTGCATAGACGTGGTAATCTGAAGCTGACATCGCGTGGCATGCAATATGCAGCTTCATGAAACACAAACTCGATTTGCTTGTGTGCATATATGTGAAGATCTGAATTTTAAAAATTCTTCGCGAAAGTAAAAGACCTTTCTTGTAATGAGATTTCGAGATCTCTTTATTTCCTGCATTAATCTTGATCGGGCCTGTTGCAAATATATGTAAGAAAGACATTATATAGAAAAATGTTATCGGATTGTTGATTTAATTTCCATTGCTTGAGATATTTATACGGAAAAACCAATCGATCTCGAAATTCCGGAAAAGCAGCCACGGTCGTTTGTGTTTCATTGTACTCGGTCGTCGTGTCGCGCCCTGCGACCGCGGCGCTTGATCGACTCCCATTACAAGAAAAACTTGGATCACGAAAAATAATCGTGAGCCTTTCCCAATTGTTCGTCCTGTGGCGAAATGCAGACATTAACATAATCATTCCATTTTTATTACTTTTGTTCCCGGTATCCTAGAAAAAAAATTAATATTTTTATATGTACTTTTACACTACTATCTTATTAGTTTTATATGTACAAAAGAAAATTTATTATTAAAGTACCTCTCATTTATATTAGGTGTGTTGTTTTTAAGGAATAACCATTTTGTTAAAACTTTTAAATGGCTATCTCGAGATATTTTTGCAAAAGAAGGTAAAAAATCAAGGTAAGAAAGTAGCAGCACCGGAATGGTTTCCAATATCTAGATTAAAAAATTATACATTATAATAAAGACAAACTATTAATAATTGTCTATTGATATATTTACGAGTGTTCATAGAACTGTAACAGTTAACATCTAATGCACTTTAGATAGAGATGAAAATGTATAAAGGAAAGTGAATTGGCTTAATTGAATTACTATTTTCTTTATGGGAAGCAATTTGTTGTTGATGCAATATGTTATCAGAAAAATACAACTGCATTTCTATTTCAAAGCTAGACCATTGCCGATTTTTTTTTGTAAGTCGATTCTTTAAAATATTCTGCATAAAAATTATTAAGAGTGGTAAGACAACCTGTTAAAATGGTAATTAATGAGATATATTTCAGATTTCAGATATTTCAGATTGAAAATAAATATTCGAACAGTTCTACCATTACACAACAAAACATTGTCAGTATTTTGATTACGACGATATGTAAACAGGTTAAAAAATTTGCTAATTTTGGCAATGTTTTAGGGCCATAAAAGAAAAAATGAAAATTGGGGGGCAAAGAAAAGTGAATTGAGAGGCTTAATGAGCATTTATTTCTAATGTAAATTCAATTTTTTTGTTGACACAATAATTGGTTGTGACCAGAAACAATTGTTTGTTTAAAATACAGCTTTCTTAATTTTTATATAAATTGAATTCCTAAAATATTCTGCGTAAAAACATAGGGACGTTGGACCAAAGATGTGCCAAAAGTAAGTATATAGTAATGAAGAATTTGAAATTATTAAAGTATAAACATTGACATCAAAGGTCTAGAGGGATATTACAGACATTGTTATAACAATACGTAATTACAAACAAATGTCCGTATAATAGTCCTATAGACCTTTGATGCCAAATGTTTGTATGATGATAATGGAACGTTCGAAACTTTACTTAATAAATTCTGAAATATATCATTAACTACTCATTTTCTAGTCATTCTTATTTATTATTTTTTTGTGCAAGATATTTTAAGGATCAACTTGTAACAAAAAATTTAGAAGTTCTATTTAAAATAAAAATAGAATTACATCTTTCTATATTATTGCACAAATAAGAAAAAGTGCGATTAAACATTCCAACTTTTTCCTTACACCATTTTTTTACTATCTGGATGCAATAGATATTACTGCTTACGGTTCTGTGATACGCCGCTGCAGTTCTCAATTTTATTTCTAAGGTAATAAGAAGAGAATGTGTATATGTATATTAATTTTTTCATACGTTACTGATTTAAAAAACGCTAAACGTTTTTGCATTTTTGTCCCATGTCAGAATAAGGAAATATAAAATTACTATGTAAAACTCCATTAAGGTAAATTTGCGTAATGGCTGTATCCAACAGGTGTAAAGAACGTGGTAAAATTCGTGTGATTGATAATACCATAGGAGTATATAATAGCGGATATCGGAAATAATTTGACTTTTACAACCGACTATATATATATATAACGGTGAGAATTACCAAAGTAGCATAGGAAAGATAAAAATGAGTATATTAAACATCCGTCTTGAAAATAAATAAATTAGACCAAAGTTTCAAAACTATTTGATTTTATAATATAAACCTAATTGCATATCTTCCGGTAAACATATACAGGGTGTCCCCATTAAAAAAAACGCATTAATTCTTCGATAATTCTTCAATGAAACATTTTCAGCAAAAATGTTTGAAACGAAATTGTATATGATCTCAAGGAGGGACATAAAATAACTATACTATATTGTTTACAAATAAGCCACTACTTTCGTATATTCACTTGACATTATTTCTCTTAAATGGAAACACCCCAATTTTTTATTGATACCATCTTTTCTACCCAATAATTATAAATAACTTTTGTCTTGAAATATTTTTTTATTTGCCTAATATTTTTGAATATTTAAGCAGAAAATTATATCTTTTTTAGCCTACTCGAAACTTGTGAACTTTTTTAGCTACCCGATAATTTGGTGATGACTTTCTTTTTAATATGTTTGCATACTCAGTCTACTTTTTTCTTGACGAACTCCTCCGTAATTCTACTCTAAACAGCAGTATTACATTACTAATATACAGAAACAATAATTTGTCTCGTGTTTCTTAAATCTTTTTGACTGATAGTGTAAATCGTAACTTAAAATAAACATCAAACATTTACAATGTGTATATATTACTGATTGAGTGACGATGGATGACAAAACTATTATAGAACATGTGCATAAGGCGGGAATAAGCCTTGGAAAATGCAAAAATTGCTTCTTCCAAAACAGATTTCGTTTTGCTGCAATATAAAAATTTATGACGCCCAATATTGTGGATGGCGACATATAAAACCCAAGGCATCGGACCAAACCAAGATGTTTGACCAAACTGAAAACGAATAAATGTACAACATAATTTCCAATTACATAATAGTACGTTATTTCTTAAATGGAAAAGCTTCTTTCATGTACTGCCTTGCACGTCACCGAGCATAGGCGTCCGGCTTTTCTATTTATTTCCGGATGCACGGCGCAACTATCGTTGTACTCACACGTACTTGGAGGATGGTGGAGACGGACTGTCTGCGTGACGGCACCGCGTCTCCACTTGTCTTTACCTGGCAAGTAACTAACCCCATCTGTTCACGCGTGCAAAGATGACTAGAGGGATCGGCGTCGCGGAACGACTCATACATATTCCCGCTTCACCGGTATTTCGGTGGCTCGGGTCGAGCTGTAGTGCAGATCCGTCCTCTAGGCCGCTCGTCGCTTGGCGAAAGCATCCCGTGTTCGACCATACCTGGGCGTTCCGACTATCGTCCCTCGGTCGAAGTTCGCCGCTCGCGCAGGGAGCAACACCCACAATCAATGGCGACCGTCGCGGGCGACGCCCGCCCGTCGGCTTAGCCGTCCTTCTTCCTTTACGATCATCCCTTTCGTCTCATGCAGAATTCGCCACGCGAACGCTTACCGTCACAAAGGTGATTCGCAGCGAGTGCCGCATGAGGGTGTAGCTTCCGACTA